GTCAAGGCCGGCCCGGCCCGAAAAAGTGACGTAAATTTACACAGACCCAAACCCGGATCCGATCGCATTGGCAATTTTTTGTCTGTTTTTTGGTTTTCTGTTTTCTTTTGGCTTATTTAATAGCAGACATCACGTTGACAATGAGTAACCAATGGCAATTTCCTTGTAGTAGTTGGAGCATGCAGTAATAAGTTTTCAGTTTTCATTTGATTAATGTTTTCACATTACATCTTTCATTGTTGTCGTTTAGGGCTACAAACGAAAATAAACGAGTCAAAAATCGAGCTCGACCTCGAGTTTAACTAGTTGATTTTGAGTTTTAACAAGACGAGTTACAGAAAAATTTTATAAATTTTTTTTTTTCGAGTCTTAACTAACCTTATCGAGCCGAGTCGAATCGAGCCGAGCTCGACTAATTAATTAAACGAGCTTTAAATGAGCTCGAACTCGAGCCTTAACGAGTAGAGTCGAGTCAGACTCGTTTAATTTAACAACACTATAATGTCGTTTTTGTGGCCCATCGGGCTTTATTCATTGAACTACACTCTTGACCAACGATTATAAATTAGCTAAAATGAATGTATATTAATCCAACAATCATTAATTAGTTACGATTATAAATTAGCTAAAATGAACGTATATTAATCCAACAATCATTAATTAGTTAGAACGAACGAATATTAATCCAACGATTATAGATTAGGTAGAATGAATGTTTTAGATTTGTGTTCTTTGAAAAATACGACATTTGAACTTGTTTAAATTACCAACATGGATAGGATGCTATGTTTCATTTTTGTGATAATTGTTCATGATTATGATCGGTGAAAAAAAAAAATAGAAATGGAAATTTGTAATTTATTCGAAAAAACAAGAAAAACAACTACAAACTAGTAATATTTTATCCTAAAAAAGATATTTTCTAATACTTTGGTAATTACAAAATCAAGAAGAAGCAGGGTTGCGGTCCCACGGACGTGAAGTGCACCAATTCAAGATGAGCCTAGATATGTCTTAGTGGAGTTTCATCCTAAAACTAATTGGTGATAGAAGAAGTAGTCCCTGTTAGAAAAAGTGTAGGGGGCGGTGCCACATGCAGCCGCCCCCAATTGCAATTAAAAAAAATAATAAAAAAAAATCAAGATTCTTTCTTGAATAGTGTGCCATTTGATGGCAATCTGTCAATCCCACTATGTCAATAGCCAAATTGAGCATATAAAACAATCAATTTGCTCTCTCCATCTCAGTATAAATATGTGTGTTCGGGCAGAAGAAAAGACACACAAAATAGAGGAAAAGAAAGGAAAGAAAGGAAAAGAGAAAGGAAAAAGAAAAGATAGATTTATGTCCAAATATCGGATATAAAAATATCAAAAGAGAGAAACAAGTGATATTTTTATTTGTTTTAAGATATTCATTTTATTTTTAAGTGCTCAATTCTCGACTCCGTTTCCGTTCGCCGGAGCTCGTAAATCTGGTGTGCTACAGATTTAGAGACGTTTGCCGTTGTATCTTTGGGGAAGTTACGCCTGAACCGTTAGCTGCCACACGGGGCGTATTCTTCTTGCGGAAAGAGTTTTACTCGCCTCGGCTATAAAATCTTTTCGTTTTTCAGTTGTAATTTATTTTTCAGTTCAATTGTAATTTTCTATTTTTAGATTATTTGTAAGAACTGAAAATACATATCAGTTCGTAGGATTCCCGTGTAATTTTACACCAAAAAATCCAACAATCGCAAGAAGAATATTTATTCCTACTGAACTGATGGCATCCATCAGAGCAGGTTCCAGCTCTCAGCATCCGATCAATCATGTACCTGCTGTCCATGTTCCTACAGCTGAAAAGCCCGAAAGATTCAACGGGCTTGACTTTAAGAGATGGAAACAGAAGATGCATTTTTACCAGACCACTTTGGGTTTGGTGAAATACCTGAAGGACGACCCTCCGGTCATTTCTGAAAATGAGACAAATGCTGAACTACACCCTGCGTATGATGCTTGGGGGCAAGGTGACTACCTTTGCCGGAACTATGTCCTGAATGGACTTAGTAACGAGTTGTACAATGTGTACAGCTCTGTTGGTTCTGCCAAGGAACTTTGGGCTGCCTTGGAGAAGAAGTACAAGACGGAGGATGCCGGGGCGAAGAAATTCGTCGTCGGCAAATTTCTCGACTTCAAGATGGTAGACACGAAGACTGTCGTGTCACAAGTGCAAGAGTTCCAGCTGATCTTGCACGATATCCATTCTGAAGGGATGACTTTGAGCGAGTCATTCCAAGTAGCGGCTGTGATCGAGAAGCTGCCGCCAGGCTGGAAGGACTTCAAGAACTATCTCAAACACAAGAGAAAGGAGATGAGTCTTGAAGACCTGGTTGTTCGTCTTCGTATTGAGGAGGACAACCGTAATTCGTCGGGCAAAAGCCCGATAATGGAGGCTCGTGCGAACTTGCTGGAGCAAGGAAATTCGAGCAAAAGGAAGCCCCTTAACAAAGGGAAGCAGCCCGCCAAGGTTTGGAAATTCACTGAAATTGTTACAACTGTGGAAAGCCAAACCATATGGCGAAAGACTGCAAGAGGCCAAAGAAAGCTGGGCCAAATAAAGGGCAACCGAGTGCCCTTGTTGCTGAACACGACCCTGTGTCGGGTGAATTGACCGACTTTGATATGTCGGTTGTGGTGTTTGAAGCCAATTTGGTGGATAACCCAAGGGAGTGGTACATTGATACTGGTGCCACTCGTCATGTGTGTTCCGACAAGGAGGTGTTCTCTGAATACACTCCTGCTACGGGTCGGAAACTACACATGGGAAACTCCTCCACGTCTGATGTGGCTGGAGTGGGCACGGTGGTGCTGAAGCTCACTTCTGGAAGGGAGTTGAAGCTGAAGGATGTTCTGCATGTCCCAGACATCCGCAAGAATTTGGTCTCCGGATCACTTCTTGTTGAGCATGGATTCAGGCTGGTGTTTGAAGCTAAGAAGTTTATTCTTAGCAAATATGGAAAATTCCTTGGTCTTGGTTATCTCGACAAGGGATTGTTCAAAATGAATGTAATGGCAGTGAGCCGTGTAACCGTTGATAATAAAAAGCCTATTTCTGTTTATACTGTTGAGTACTCTGATTTATGGCATATTAGATTGGGACATGTAAATCTAAATGCTGATTTATGGCATATTAGATTGGGACATGTAAATCTAAATGCAATTAAACGGTTGATGAAATTAGAATTAATTCCTAATTCTAAAGTTGAGACAAATACAAAATGTAAAATTTGTATTGAAGCAAAAATGGCTAATTTACCTTTCCACCTGGTGGAAAGGAGTACTGAACCATTAGGCTTGATCCATACTGATGTATGTGATATGAAAAGTGTGCAAACAAGAACCGGTAAAAAGTATTTTGTAACTTTTATCGATGATTGCACAAGGTTTTGCTACTTATATATGTTAAGAAGCAAAAATGCAGCTGTGGAAGCATTTAAGATATATAAGACCGAAGTTGAAAATCAACTC